ATTTGTTTAGTAGGATTTTCTTGCCCTTATTCTCTTACACTGAGTACCGGGTACAAGATTTCCTGCGCTTTTGATTGACTAACATTAATTGTTAACTATTAAAATTCCTCAGGATAGTTACCAGTTGCCACGTTATCCTGTTACTGACACTTCCATATCACAAGTATTCGTTGTACATTGATTTGCTATTTTTCACCATGTTTCGTCTCCAAGCTTTTCGTAACGATCCAGCAGGTGAAATAGGGAACTTTAAGTCGTGCCAAGAAGACCGAATTACAAACTCTTGCACACGAGTATCAACTAGATGTTCCCCATGGAGCCAACAAAAATGAATTGCACAATTTAATATTGGATCACCTCTTAGATAAGATTGACTCTGAAACTCCCGAAAATTATTCTATTGCAGATAGACATGCTCTGACAACTATGAAACTCAAGCTCGAACTTGCAAAGATCGAGCGAGAGCAACAAAAAGCTCTACAAATGAGGAAAGAAGAAGCTGCAATCAGGAAAGAAGAACAAGAACGAGAGGCGGCCCTAAGGAAAGAAGAAGCGGCCGTAAAGAAAGAACAAGAACATGAGGCGGCCCGAAAGGAACGCGAGATGGCCCTAAAGAAAGAAGAGACGGCCCTACTCCAAGAGCGTGAGCGAGTACAGCTTGAAGCAAGACAACGTCACCTGGAGATGCAACGCGAGCATGATAAGAAGCAAGCCGATATGGCTATAGCATGTCGTCAACAAGAACTCGCGTTGGAAACTACACACCACACTCAGCGCCAACAAGCTACCGCTAGTCTTCCCGTAAGTTTCAATGTCTCCCATGCAAGTAAGTTAACGCCACCATTCCTTGAGACAGAGATTGATGTATTTTTCACCACATTTGAAACCCTAGCTAAAAAACTTAGCTGGCCTGCAGATCAATGTTCTACCCTTCTCAGAGTGCATCTCACTGTGCGTTTTGGACGCCTACCTTCTCTCCACCGAAAGCTACAGACGAAAATTCCTTGCTTATCTAATGGCAAGTACCACCACCTTTTTAGAATTTGCCAATACCAAGAAAAGATATTTCATGAAATGGCTCTGTACCTCAGGGTACAGTCCTTGCACCGCTGCTTTTCCTTATTCTCATATCAGATATAGACAAAAATACAAGTCACAGCTTCGTATCATCCTTTGCAGATGACACAAAAATCAGTATGAAAATTACCTCGGCTGAGGACATTGAAAAACTTCAAGCTGATATTAATAAAGTTTTCGACTGGGCATCAGAAAATAACATGATGTTTAACAGTGATAAATTCCAGGTACTCAGGTACGGTAAAAATGAGGACCTTAAACATAATACAGAGTACAAAACACAATCAAATGTACCCATAGTAGGAAAACAGCATGTAAAGGATTTGGGAATAATAATGTCTGACGACCTAACGTTTAAGGAGCATAACCAAGCAAATATTGCGACAGCCAGAAAAATGATAGGATGGATTACGAGAACTTTCAAATCCAGGGATCCCATCACAATGGTTGTACTCTTCAAGTCACTTGTGTTGTCCCGTCTTGAGTACTGCTCAGTACTCACTTCCCCCTTCAGAGCAGGAGAGATTGCTGAAATAGAGGGAATACAGAGAACATATACGGCACGCATAGATGCAATAAAGCACCTAAATTATTGGGATCGTCTCAAAGCCCTCCAAATGTACTCACTAGAAAGAAGACGAGAGAGATATCAAATAATATACACCTGGAAGATACTGGAGGGCCAAGTGCCAAATCTACACAGTAAAATAACAACGTACTGGAGTGAACGACATGGAAGAAAATGTAGAATAGAACCAATGAAGAGCAGAGGTGCCATAGGCACAATCAGAGAACACTGTATAAACATCAGAGGTCCGCGGTTGTTCAACGTCCTCCCAGCAAGCATAAGAAATATTGCCGGAACAACCGTGGACATTTTCAAGAGGAAACTAGATTTATTCCTCCAAGGAGTGCCGGACCAACCGGGCTGTGGTGGGTATGTGGGCCTGCGGGCCGCTCCAAGCAACAGCCTGGTGGACCAAACTCTCACAAGTCGAGCCTGGCCTACAGGGTACCAAAATGATGATCTGTCCGAGATTGAGAAATATCCTAGGGACAAAAGGTAGAAAACACGAGTAATAACACGGAGGGAGGGATGACCAATTAAGAGAATGACTGAGGCCTACAGTCACCACGTAATCCAAAGTTATCCAACACTCACAATATGCTACTCTCGGAATGCATAATACACACAGCACCATATAAATATTAAAAGTAATGAAAATATTGAAAAGCAACTCCATCAAAGCCAAGTACACTTACCACAAATTGATGTTCTGGTACTAGTACCTGAGTGAAGCTCCCGGACAAGCCCCCATTAAATGTGACGGGAAAGTGTAGGAGTGTTGATGTTCGGCAGTCCTCCAATGGCTGGTGTCAATGCCTAGTCACACTTACACAAAAAAAATATAGACTGCTTGGATGTTTATCTGTGGTAAAGTAAGGGAAGACACGCAAAACACACAGTATGAACAATGAAACTTTAATTAATATAGAATACAAATTAAAAACAAAGACAATCCCTTGGCTATGTACAGTGCAAACAAACAAGTCCAAAACATATAACATAAATGAAGAATAGGGATGATGTTACTCTACAATAATATAAAGACAAAGTGAAAAATAAGCAAGGTGCTGAGAATATAGCGCTAGCTGAGAAACATCCACCTGATAGACAGCGTATATCAGTTAGTTGTTCACGGCTTGAGAGCACAAGGATATTCTGACTTCAATGGCTGGTTCAAGCCCAGACATCGACTTGTAGAGGGCGCTGAGGTGCAGAGGTGCAGGTGTGCAGTCGGCGAGTCACCAATCAGAAGGAGGCAAGCTGGGAATGGTAGTTTGCTGGTTGATGACAGAGCCGGCATGGAGGGAGTGTGGAGTAGGGGGGAGTCTTGGGTACGTTTGCCTCCTGGTCAAAACGTTTTGTGCTACTGGTAGACGTATCTTGAAGGTAGTATCTTATTGTTGCATAATATACGTAACTTTATGTAGAGAAGAGCAGGCTCAATCTCTCTTGAAAGAGATTATCCTCACAAAGGATAAAGGGAAAATCCATACTCTCACTTTCACTGACTGTGGTTGTAGAGGGAACACTCACACATCTGTGTGGTTGTGTGACCCGGGAGTATACTCCTACGGGCGGTCATATAAACAAGAACGCCTATAATAACCAAGGGGTCTGTGAGATGACCGACAACCCCCAGAATAACCAAGGTACTGTGAGATGACCGACAACCCCCAGAATAACCAAGGTACTGTGAGATGACCGACAACCCCCAGAATAACCAAGGTACTGTGAGATGACCGACAACCCCCAGAATAACAAGGCTTTTAAAAATTAACGACAACCGGAGTCTTTCATCTCACAGTTCCTGGTTATTCTGGGAGTTATGGTTGATAACACCACACTCTGGAGATGCTGGGAGTAATGGTTGATAACACCACACTCTGGAGATGCTGGGAGTAATGGTTGATAACACCACACATGAGCTTAACCCTGGATGGTATTTATAGAGTGGAAAATCGTCATAAGTAATGGCCTGTAGAATTCCACGAGTGCTATTGATAGTGTTAATAGGATCTCCAGCATATACACTGCACTTGAGGTGGTGTCGTGTGGAGGTGACATGTTAAACACCATTTACGTCAACGGATGAAAAAAATGAATGATTGTATGCAAGTTATGTTGGGGAGGAAAAATATTCGGGATTCTATGCATGGGGAAAGAATAGGAGAAAATATTAATATTACAGACGATTTTTGTTTTCAGAAAACGGGATCAACACAATTTCTGTCTTAGTGCTTATGGAAACAATGTAGGGAAAGCTAGAAAGCAGGCATTATAGTAACTGTCTTCCTTTTCTGTCGACAAGAAGTAGCAACAGTGGTATTCCAATCATATAAGAAATTCATAGTAGGTGGCGTGTTTGTATCAGATGATTTTCTTGAGCAATTGGTATTAATTGTCATCTTGACAATTATTTCTAGGACAATATAATATTATATATGCAGAAATGGGAACATTTCTTTGAAAGTAATTAAGTAATTGCATAAATGCAAGTGGAAGTGTGGGCTTTTATCTAGGAGCAGAAGGTAATAGGCTTTGTCGGTGTTAAAACTTTAAATAGATATGAGTATGGTCAAAAAACTAATAAAATAGGACCATACCTGTATGTTTACAAAGGACATGAGAAATAAGAGTTAAAAAAGACAAATTAATAAAACTAAAATGTAATTGGTGAATTTGTACATAAGCCAGCATGTTTGAGTAGAATGAAGATAACTTTGATTTGGGGTGAAATATGAAAGGCCTCAAGGAATGACAACATTACAGTGGCACATTTTCAATATAATACAACAAATCCCCAGAAATAACTGGGGATAAGGATACCAAGGCCTTCTTGGGGAACATTAGTTATTGCTTTTTGACAAAGATTGTTCACAATCAAATCAGGTAACACAATATTCTTCATATAGGGTCACTAAAAAAAGGAAGTGTAATTTTAAACGTTGAAATATTTAGAAATAGTATTCACAATGAAAATAGTATTCGATGTTGTTTTGACACGTTATATGAGGAATAGTCCGTATTCAAGATTTTCATAAATCTGATTACATGAGACTGGGGCAGGATTTCTGGGAGGTCAATAAGACACAGTTAATCTCTCAGCACATAATTCCAGTCACTACGAGAAACATACAATATTTGTACGGGCATTATACATAGTGCTCAGGAGCCGACCGTTCCAACTTGATTAGTTAAATGAAGTAATAATAATTAGAAATGTATAAATTTTGTACAAAATGCTCTAAATGTGGAAGATGAGAGCTCTGTTTAGGTAATTAAAAAATCGGGAAGTTTTGATACGTGAATAGTTTAAATAAAATATAGCAAGAGGTGTTGAAATGGAAGCAAAAAATCTTTATTATAATTTTATTCTAATCTTTACAATGGGAAAACTGGGTTAGTAAATTTGTAGATGCGGTGAAAAAAAAATTAACTGACAATTATCTATAAACTCAGGTCTATAACTGAGAAGATCTATAAATCAAAAACAAGAACATAAGCCTAACAAACCTCCAGGTAAAGATGAAATATTTATCAGCATTCAGAAAAGTTCAGAGGTAAGCCTAGTAAGCCTAGGTAGGTAAAGAGCCTGACAGCTGAGTGGACTGCGCATGCATCGTATTCGTAGTCTTGAATTTCCGGGTTTGAACCCCGGTGGAGGAGGAAACAAATGGGCAGAGTTTTTCACCCTGATGACCCTGTTACCTAGCAGTAAATAGGTACCTCGAAGTTAGACAGCTGCTACGGGCTGCTTCCTGGGGGAGTGTAATGCGGCCCGGACTTGGACGAGGACCGCGCCGCGGTGACACTAAGCCCCAACATCATCTCGAGGTCTCAAGATAGCCAACACTTGTATTAATAAGTCGCTAGATTCCGGTAGGGTGCCTGAATCATGGAGGGATGCAAACGTGGTGACAATTTTGGTAAATGTGGACACAGATCTCATTCATCCAAATATCTACTAATAAGTTAAATGTCTACAGTGGGGAAGTTGCTTGAACCAAAACTGAAAATACAATGCAGACCCAACATGAGGATCATTGTTTGATAAGGGTTTCTCAGCATGGGTTTACTATGGGCCAGTCTTGTCAATTATATTATCAATTAATATTATTATCATTATCAACATAAACGATTTAAAGTTTGGAGTAACTGGCAACATCATTTAATTTGCAGATGATTAAAAAATATAGAACATCTTGAATGCCTTAGAAAATGGATAAGTGCTTCAAAGATTCCCGAATAAGCTTCTGCTTTGCTAAAAGACTGATAACGGCAATTTACTTAAAAATTGCATAAATTTTTACTTTATAAATTTTAAATTGGTAACTGAAAGCTGTAATTTAAAGCAAACAAATACAGAGCACATAGCTTTGGAAATAAGTATTGAGGTGCTATATATCAGTTCAATAATGCCAAATCACAAGTGTTTTTTGTAAAATGGATCTTGAACCATTGATTAATGGTAATCTAAGACTAATCAAATATTGGCTAAGTACTCGAAATAAGCAAACATTATGCTAGGATTCATGTTTAGAACTGTTAGTAATAATTCCTCCTGTGTTATTCTTCAGATTAACATCACCTATGTTGGATACGATTTGCATTATGCAGATAAGTTTTGGTTATCATTATATTGGATGGACAAAATTTCTATCAAAGAATACTAAGATGGAAAAATACTAAAATGATCTCAGACACAAGAAACCTTCTGTGTGAATAAAGAATAGGCAAACTTAATTAACATTCATTAGAAAGACGGACAGGGAGTGATATGAATGAAGAATTCAAAAGGTTGATGAGCTGCAAAAGGGGATAATAATAATCTAATTCACATAGAGGATACCCAGAATACAAAACAATTGGTTTTAATTTTGATAAAGTTTTGATTTAGAAGTCTGCCATATAGTATATCGGGGGTATGCTCGTTGGATTCCTTCTGTTGTTATCTGGATCAATAAATGAGTTTAAGTGTAAACGGTAACTGTAGATACTTTTTTTTTTTTTTTGGTGAAGGAATTGATGGTTAACCAGAGCATATCTTGGTGATTGTCAGTGTGGAGCTCGCCGCTGCTGGCAGGGACCTACTTGGCCACACGATAGAAGAACATGGCTCCATCGTCGTCTAAGGAATAGTTTGGTACCACTTTTCTTCCTTCCTGTTGAACAATAAGTCGAAAAATTATAGTAAATGTTATGCAAAATTACACTGGAAACAAAGTAAATTGAATAGAGGTTCAGTGTTATGGGAACAAGTTAGAGTAATATATTGTACAGATAAACACTCTCAACCTGATATAGAATTTACATATAAATATACTCAACCAGTTATGAGTCAGAAGCAACCAACTCGTACTTGGATCTTGCCACTTTCAAAGCAGAAGCACTCCAAAGAATCATAATTGTTTTCTCGGAATTCTCGTGTTAAAAAGATTATATAATGCTAAACAGAACAAGAAAGTAGTTGAATTTGTATTTTCATGTTATTTACATGAAATGATATAAGCAAATATATACATATGTATTCTGGAAAAACTACCTGGATGTGACGAGGATTGTGTATCACGTACCCCTCTTCCACCCTCTTCTTTATCTTTCCTCCTCCTCTTCCCTCCACCTCTATCCCACCCCTTCCCATTCTTCCCTTATTGTCTCTTTCTCTGCTCCTTTATCTCTCCCATTTTCTCCCTTCTTTTCTCCCCTCTTTTCTGTCTGCCCTCCAACCTCGAACAGATAGACTCATATCTATATAAATAAAAATATAAATATTCGTTTGTTCAAAATAGCTAATCTCTGAAAATTCTTCACCGATTGCTTTGAAATTTTCACACAACGTTCCATTCGCATCCGAGCGGTTTTTTTTTATATACATACTATATAGATGTCACGTCTGTGACCTGAAAAAACATGCTTTTCTGAAAAACAGGTGTTTTTCATGTGGTTATCTTGAGATGATTTCGGGGCTTTAGTGTCCCCGCGGCCCGGTCCTCGACCAGGCCTCCACCCCCACAGCCCGTGACAGCTGACTAACACCCAGGTACCTATTTTACTGCTAGGTAACAGGGGCATAGGGTGAAAGAAACTCTGCCCATTGTTTCTCGCCGGCGCCCGGGATCGAACCCGGGACCACAGGATCACAAGTCCAGTGTGCTGTCCGCTCGGCCGACCGGCTCCCACTCGCCGGCTCCCACTCCCACTTGACACAACATTGCATTCAAATAGGCGCATGTTATTATATACCTAATACATACAGACCTAACCTGTGATAGGAAAAAAAAGTGTTTTGTTTGAAAAACAACGCCATCTGTTGGACGTAAGAGCAACACACGCTGTAATCTCCGAAAGTTCTTCACTAATTGCTATGAAATTTTGACACAACATTCCATTCGAATACGTGCATGTTTTTGTATACCTACTATATAATTGCCACACCTGTGACAGGCAAAACCATGCTTTTTTTTTTTTTAAAAACAGCACCATCTGTTGCATGTAATAGCAACACACGTTATTCTAAAATGTTACAATTCCATTTCAATGTTTCCGATTGCATTGATAAATGGAACTTTCATAGATTTCGATTTATTTTCATTTTAGTTTATTTATTTTATGTAACATGGCGTTGAAATTGAGCTGTGTTCTTTACCATACCATTCACTTCGTAAATATAAGTATAGATGCCTTCAGTCGTAGACGGGAATCCACTGGTTTCGACCCAGTGAGGAATATAAAAATGGTGCCAAACGTGAATGAGGAGGTGTCAAAGTTCTTTGCTGCCTGGCCGAGAGACAATTGGGCTATAATGATTCAATCAGTGATGACTGGTAAAGCCCAAACCGCGCACTCCACACTTTCATTAAGTGACTCGAGTGACTATAACGCTGTCAATAAGGTGGTGATGATGGGTTACCAGTTGGCGCCTGAGGCATCTCGGCAGAAGTTTCGTAACTTTAAGAAAACATCTGAGCACACTTTTAAGGAGTTTGTTGGAATTAAAGAACGGTTATTTAAGAAATAGTGTGCGTCTCGGAAGGTCGAGACTAAGGAGCAGCTAGAACAACTAATCCTGTTAGAAGATTTCAAGGAGCGCCTGTCAGGTGATCTGAAAACGTTCTTGGAGGAGCAGAAAGTATAGACTTGGGTGCTGCAGCTACCATGACTGAAGAATACATTTTAACCCAAAGGCCATCTACAAGGTAAGTCTCAAGACCTACTAAAAACCGTTTACCAAGTATAAGCAGGAAAGAATTATCCCCCATGGTGCCTTAAAGAAATCCCCATGTAGTCCAAGACGAACAAGCCCATGGAGAGACGTAGTGTGTTGGACATGGAGGAAGAAAAGACACGTGTCTGGTAAGTGTTAGAGCAGGGCAGGTAACGACCTGCATGTGGGAAATTATGCTGGTAAGTTGTGACACCAAATGTGGAAACCCGCTCCATATGGAAAGGTATGAGTGAGAAACCAGGATTATTTGCCCCATTAACTTCGAAAGGGTATGTATTAAGTGACCAGTGTGGCAGGTTAGTAGTAATTCTCAGTGATAGTGGAGTAGCCCAATCTCTGATTTTGAAGAGCTCATTACCCAAGGAAGTGTCTACTGGAGGGAAGAAAAGTGTCATTTTAGGTGGGTTTCCCTCGACTTTGTTCGTTGCCCCGTTAGTAAAGGTTCACTTGGAATCACCACATTTCAATGGGAGTGTACATTGGAAGTAGCAGACCATCTTTCTATTGAAGGGATAGAAGTAATACTAGCCAATGACTTAGTTTTGGGTTTGGACAGTAACCATCACATAGTTGTTGCAGATCCTGTAGAAGACGTGGTAAGACCAACAGTAGCAGTTCAAACCAGTTCACAGGTAAAGGCACATCTGAGGTTAGATGCTCTATTTAACTTTACCCCTACCCCACAGGTTATCTACAGTACTCCATCTAACCCTCTTGAGTATATTACAGAACAGAAGCACTCGACTAGATCCACCTTGATTGCAGAGCAACAGAACAACCCCCAGGTGAAAGCACTCGTAGACACTATGGAGTCCAGTTCGTAGGCAGGTGACCAATACTTTCCAAAGAATAAGGTACTATGCCTGATGTATCGAAGAGGAACACCCCAGACTCCTGATGTACGAACTCGGGGAGTCGTATCCTCAGCAACGGCTCATGATGGAATATTTTCCGGACACTGCAGGATATCGAAAACTTTTCATCGCCTAGCCAGATGCTTCTTCTGAGTCTTCTGTATTTACCTTCTCTTTGCCATATGATCAGCATCGAATGAGTCTCTGAGCCTATCCCCATTCAAGAAAGTGTATGGTCACACAGTTAAAAGACTATTTGAGGTTATCAAGGACCAGTGGGTGGACAAAGAGAGCAACATGGATGCGCTTGACTAATTATCTACGCACAATAGCAAGTTGTTTACTGCATGGGAACTAGCCAAGGAAAACCTGTTATATTCTCAGGTAACGACAATTTGCAGAAAGTTAATGCCACTAAATATATCCTCAGCACTCCAGGCAGGAAAAGAAAGCAGATGTTGGTACACGTGAACATGGTGAAGATGTGCTAAAGGTCGGGGACATTCGCCCAGTGACGATGGTGGTCTCAGGGGACCAAGACCAAGAGGTAATGGAGGACTCTCAGATAGCCTTTGAAAGCCTGAAATCCATACAGATATCATCTCCCATTCTCATGCCCATTAAATTTCGATGACAGATTCAAATTAACCGTCGATGCTTCAGTATTGGTATACGGTATAGTGTCACGGTATAGGAGCAGTGTTATTACAAAATGATACAAAATAAGTAAAACACCCTGACACCCTGTGGCTTATTATTCCAAGAAATTAAGTGGTTGTCAACGGAATTATTATATGACTAGCTGTACCCGGCCACACGTTGCTGTGGCTTAGCAATGCATATGTGTGTTGCCAAGCCCCAGCATCCTTTCCCTGTTTTCTAGTCCTCCCCTCCATTTCCCCCTCCCACGTCCCCTCGTCCTCCCCACCATCTTCCACTCCCCCGTCCCCTTGTTCTCCCTATCATTCCCCACTTCCCTGTCCCCTCGTCCTCCCCACCATCCCCCACTCCCTCGTTTTGCTGGAGACCCCTGCCAGCATGTTCTTGGAGACCCCTGCCAGCGTGTTCTTGGAGACCCCTGCCAGCGTGTTCTTGGAGACCCCTGCCAGTGTGTTCTTGGAGACCCCTGCCAGCGTGTTCTTGGAGACCCCTGCCAGCGTGTTCTTGGAGACCCCTGCCAGCGTGTTCTTGGAGACCCCTGCCAGCGTGTTCTTGGAGACCCCTGCCAGTGTGTTCTTGGAGACCCCTGCCAGCGTGTTCTTGGAGACCCCTGCCAGCGTGTTCTTGGAGACCCCTGCCAGCGTGTTCTTGGAGACCCCTGCCAGCGTGTTCTTGGAGACCCCTGCCAGTGTGTTGCTGGAGACCCCTGCCAGCGTGTTCTTGGTGACCCCTGCCAGTGTGTTGCTGGAGACCCCTGCCAGCGTGTTATTGGAGACCCCTGCCAGCGTGTTCTTGGAGACCCCTGCCAGCGTGTTCTTGGAGACCCCTGCCAGCATGTTCTTGGAGACCCCTGCCAGCATGTTCTTGGAGACCCCTGCCAGCATGTTCTTGGAGACCCCTGCCAGCATGTTCTTGGATACCCCTGCCAGCGTGTTCTTGGAGACCCCTGCCAGTGTGTTGCTGGAGACCACTGCCAGTGTGTTGCTGGAGACCCATGCCAGTGTGTTGCTGGAGACCCATGCCAGTGTGTTGCTGGAGACCCCTGCCAGTGTGTTGCTGGAGACCACTGCCAGCGTGTTCTTAGAGACCCCTGCCAGTGTGTTGCTGGAGACCCCTGCCAGTGTGTTGCTGGAGACCACTGCCAGCATTTTCCTGGAGACCCTTGCCAGTGTGTTGTTGGAGACCCCTGCCAGTGTGTTGCTGGAGACCCCTGCCAACGTGCTGTTGGAGACCCCTTGTCAGTGTGTTGCTGGAGACCCCCTACAAACGTGTTGCTGGAGACTTCTGCCAGTGTGTTGCTGGAGACCTCTGCAAGTGTGTTGCTGGAGACTTCTGCAAGTGTGTTGCTGGAGACCTCTGCCAGTGTGTTGCTGGAGACCTCTGCCAGCTTGTTGCTGGAGACCCCTGCCAGTGTTGTTGGAGACCCTTTCCAGAGTGTTGCTGGAGACCCCTGCCAGCGTGTTCCTGGAAGTAGTGTAAACCGGGGCCAGAAGCTGCATTTTTCATATTTTGGGCAGCAGGCTTCTTGCCCCTGGGTTTTACCGCAAAAACGGTCATACTGCATTCATATGTAACATAAATATGCAATAAAAACTGGACAGGAGTCGAATACAGTCTTCCTTAATGTTAGCTTGACAAATCATACCATAAATTGGGGCTTAGCATAGTGAATTGCATTTATCAGCGGTTTGCAAAAGATAAATTTAATTGAGTCAACGTTGGTTTCCAGGTTTGTGGGTCTTCATATTTCTTCATCTATATTTCTGGGTTTAAACTCTCCTTTACCTTTCGGGAGACCATTTTACATTATCAGTTTTAACCAGTCGGTTTCCTTTGCTTTCATGTTAGCAGTTTCATCCCTAATGTTCCCGTTGAAATTTAGTTAGATCAGAGAGAATGAGCTTTATTTTCTCCATTTATTTATAATATTTTGGATGACATATATTGGTAATTTATCACCTCTTCTGACAACTATTTCCTTGTTCTGACTAAGCTCCTTAGCTGCCGCTTTCAGCTCCGGAGACAGTAAGAGGCTTCCGTAGTTACCTCGAGTCATTCCTCCGTCTACAATAAGCTATGCTTGCAAAGTATCCTTAGAGGCATTCGTCCGTTGTGTCTTTAGGTCGAATATGTCGTCCAGCGGGATCTACAACTCTACCTTCAGGGCCATCTCTCTTGGCCTGGACATAACACGACAGTTTAGTCCCAGATTTAAGAGAGTAATTTGGTCATTGGTGATTGGCCCACAAGAGAGGGCCAAGCACACTACCTTGTGGAACAATAACACAAATTGAGTGGTTTCGAACTGACTCAACTCTAAGATGGAGCTTGAGATGCCTCGTTCAAGCTTCACTACTACTCCAGAGTGCTAGAACAGATCAAAGGCTCCTGCTGTGTACAGAGCCATAACACAGCTGATCTTGGATTCATCCAGTGACTGATGCCTCTTAGTGGAGAGATTTAACAAGAGATGAGCAGCAGATCGGCCTTTTCTAAAACGATGCTATAGATCACATATTAGCCAATGATGATAACAAAATTATATCCTTTGTTTAGTGATTAATGATTACAGGATTTTACCAGTAATGGAGAACAGCGACACTTGTATTATTACCAAGCGCTAAAGTACTTTTCATAAGATCTTTGTAAAACAAGCAAGATTCTACAATCCGTGAAAATCACAGGGGATCACTATTAGGGCCGATCCATGTTACAGGGGTTAAGAGGGCAATGTGGTCGATCCTGGCCAACCAATGATGGACATCTTTCCCCTTAGTTATCACCCAGAAAAAATCGTTTAGGCTAGCCCCACGCATGTATCCTCCTCCCCAAAATATAAAGACTACACCAGTGAGAAAGACGAAGACAATAAAGACAGACGAACTGATATGTCCATTTACCGACGCATATATATATGTATGTATGTATGTATGTATGTATGTATGTATGTATGTATGTATGTATGTATGTATGTATGTATGTATGTATGTATGTATGTATGTATGTACATATTGTAAGTATGGAATATAATTTTATCAATTTATCTTATTTTCCTCAAATCGTCTTTCATGAACGTTAAATTTACTTGGAAAGATCAACACAACATTAAGTGAACTATATTACCTTCCGCCACAGCCCCTGTTGCTCTAGATGCTCCATGTGGGGCTCCAGCTTGTCCTTGTATGCCGCCACCTCCACCAGAAGCTTCGTCCCCATCAAAATTATCACTAGACCACCTGTGTGACAGGAACAGCATTAGTGCCTGGAAAATGTGCTGCCTTTTAACACTCAGTGAAGGCAGGCGTTCAACATCTAGTCATGCCAGGCGTTCAACATCTAGTCATGCCAGGCGTTCAACATCTAGTCATGCCAGGCGTTCAACATCTAGTCATGCCAGGCGTTCAACATCTAGTCATGCCAGGCGTTCAACATCTAGTCATGCCAGGCGTTCAACATCTAGTCATGCCAGGCGTTCAACATCTAGTCATGCCAGGCGTTCAACATCTAGTCATGCCAAGCGTTCAACATCTAGTCATGCCAGGCGTTCAACATGCAGTCATGGCAGGCGTTGAACAATCAGTGATGACAGGCGTTCATCACTCAGTGATGACAGGCGTTCAACACCCAGTGATTGCAGTCATTCAACAGAGTGATGGGTCAGCATTCAACACTCAGTGTTGGCAGGCCGTCAATACTCAGTGGAAGCAGGCGTTCAACACTCAGTTAGGGCAGGCGTTCAACATCCAGTCAAGGCAGGCGTTCAACACCGATGATAGGCGTTCAATACTCAGTGCTGGCAAACGTTCAACACTCAGAGATGACAGGCGCTCAACACTCAGTGATTGCAGGCATTCAACACTCAGTGAGGGCAGGCGTTCAACATCCAGTGATAGCAGGCGTTCAACATCCAGTCAAGGCAGGCGTTCAACATCCAGTAAAGGCAGGCGTTCAACACCGATGATAGGCGTTCAATACTCAGTGATGGCAGACGTTCGTTCATAATCAAAATAGAGATCCTAAATGTAGTTATCGTCCTTGTATATAAGTCACCGGAGGCAAACCTTCAGCAGTTTAAAGACCAACTAATGAAAATAGAACCCTGCTTGGAAAACCTCACAAATCCAGCTCCGAACATCATCCTGTTTGGGGACTTCAACCAATGGCACCTGAAATGGAAGCACCTGACTAATACAGTAATATCAGAAAGAATACCAGGAAGTAGCCAAATGAACAGGCACATGCAAATGACCTGCTACGGATATGCGACAGGTTTGCCTTAAACCAGCAAATAGTAGAACCAACTAGGAAGGAGAACATGCTGGACCTCATTTTCACTAATAATGATGAATTGATCGGGAACATAATGATTACAAATACCTGTTACTCAGATCACAACTTAATTGAAGTTCTGACAACCATGGGGAATAGACCTTCAAAACCAGTCCAGATTTCCAGTGGAGGAGATTTCAGCAAATTCAACTTCAATAATAAACAGATAAACTGGGAGCAAATAAACCAGGACTTCACAGAAATAAACTGGGAAGAGCAGCTAGAAAATACAAACCTGAACCAGTGCCTGGAAAAAATAAGCTCAGTAGCACTAGAAATATGTTCAAACCGCATACCGCTAAGAAAAAAGAAAAAGAGATGCAGATTGGAACGGGAACGTCGTTCCCTATATAGGCGAAGAAAACGAATCGCGGAACAATGTGAGAGTCGCACCCTATCTCAAGAACGGCGAAGATGGTTAGGTAGAGAAATAGAAACAATTGAACTCAAGCTACAAGAATCATACAAAACCCAGGAGAGGCAAAGAGAGCAAAAGGCCATCAGTGAAATAGAGAGAAATCCGAAATACTTTTTCTCCTATGCAAAATCAAGATAAAAAAACACATCTAGTATCGGGCCCCTGCGAAAGGGAGATGGAACTTTCACCGATGACAACAAAGAAATGAGCGAGTTACTGAGGAAGCAGTACGACTCTGTTTTCAACGAGCCACTAAACGCACTAAAGATTGATAACCCAAATGAATTTTTCATGGATATGATACCAACATCAAATCATATATCAGACGTCATCCTGTCCCCACTGGATTTTGAAGAAGCCATAAGCAGTATGCCTATGCACTCTGCACCAGGCCCGGATTCTTGGAACTCCATATTCATCAAGAACTGTAAAAAAACACTATCGCAGGCCTTTCACATTCTGTGGAGACAAAGCCTAGATACTGGCGTTATCCCTGACATACTAAAAACAGCAGAGATAGCACCACTCCATAAAGGAGGAAATAAGGCAGAGGCAAAAAATTACAGACCGATAGCACTAACATCGCACATCATATAATTTTTTGAGAGAGTGCTAAGAAGTAAGATCACAAAATACATGGAATCACAGCATCTTCATAACCCCGGACAACAAGGTTTCAGAACAGGGCGCTCTTGCCAGTCGCAGTTGCTGGACCACTATGATATGGCATTAGATGCTATGGAAGATAAACAAAATGCTGATGTAATATTTATAGATTTCGCAAAAGCTTTTGATAAATGTGACCATGGTGTTATTGCACATAAAATGCGTTCAAAAGGAATTACCGGAAAAATAGGCAGATGGATCTACAATTTCCTGACTAATAGAACACAATGTGTAATAGTCAACAAAATAAAATCCAGCCCATCAACCGTGAAGAGCTCAGTCCCCCAGGGTACTGTGCTTGCTCCAGTACTTTTTCTTATCCTCATATCGGACATATACAAGAACACAACTTACAGCACTGTATCATCCTTTGCAGATGACACTAGGATCTTCATGAGAGTAGGCAACATAGAGGACACGGCAAACCTCCAATCAGATGTAGATCAGGTCTTTCTATGGGCTACAGAAACAATATGGTGTTTAACGAAGATAAGTTCCAGCTCATGCGCTATGGAAAAAATTAAAATATAAAAACGGAAACCACGTACAAAACTCAGGCAAATCATAACATAGAACGTAAAGTCAATGTAAAGGATCTGGGTGTACTCATGTCGGAATACCTTACCTTTAAAGAACACAATAAAGTATCCGTCACAACTGCAAGAAAAATGACAGGTTGGATAACAAGAACTTTTCACACTAGATATGCTATACCGATGATGATACTTTTCAAAACGCTTGTGCTCTCTAGAGTGGAGTACTGCTGCACAATGACAGCCCCTTTCAAAGCTGGAGAAATTGCTGACCTGGAGAGCGTGCAGAGAAATCCTTTACTCCTAGAATCCACTCAGTAAAACATCTAAATTACTGGGACCGACTAAAGAGCCTAAATCTGTACTCCCTTGAGCGCAGGCGGGAGAGATATATAATAATTTACACGTGGAAAATAATTGAGGGCTGGTCCCAAACCTGCACACAGAAATAACATCACATGAGACCAGAAGACATGGCAGGATGTGCAGAATACCCCCGTTGAAAAGCAGAGGTGCAACAGGTGCTCTGAGAGAGAACTCTATCAACATCAGAGTCCCGAGACTGTTCAACACGCTTCCACTACACACAAGGGGCATAACTGGGAGACCCCTCACAGTGTTCAAGAGAGAACTGGATAAACACCTCCAAAGGATACCTGATCAACCTGGCTATGACTCATACTTCAGGCTGCGAGCAGCCGCGTCCAACAGCCTGGTTGATCAGGCCAGCAACAAGGAGGCCTGGTCGACGACCTGGCCGCGGGGACGCTAAGCCCCGGAAGCACCTCAAGGTAACCTCAAGGTAACCACAGAGATGACAGGCGCTCGACACTTAGTGATTGCAGGCATTCAACATTCGGTGATGGCAGGCGTTCAACATTCATTCTAAGCAGGCGTTCCACACTCAGTTATGGCAGACGTTCAACATCCTGTCATGGCAGACGTTCAACACTCAGTGATTACAGGTGTTCAACCCTCAGTGATAGCAGACTTTCAACACCCAGTGATGGCAGACATTCAACACACAATGATGGCAGGCAATCAATACTCAGTGATGACAGGCGTTCAACATTCATATTAGGCAGGCGTTCCACACACAGTTCTAGTAGACGTTCAACACCCAGTGATGGCAGGTGTTCAACACTCAGTGATGGCAGGTGTTACACATCCAGTGATAGCAGGCGTTCAACACTAAATGATGGCAGGCGTTCAATATGAAGTCAAGGCACGTGCTCAAGACTCACTGATGACAGGTATTCATCACTCAATGATGGCAGGCGTTCAACACTCAGTTATACAGAATTCAAAACTCAATGATAATAGGCATTCAACACATAGTGAAGACAGGCGTTCAACACTCAGTGATGGTAGACGTTCAACACCCAGAGATGCCGGGCGTGCAACATTCAGATATAGCATATATTCAACACTCAGTGATGGCAAGCGTTCAACATCCAGTCAAGGCAGTCATTCAACATTGATGACAGGCATTCAACACCTAGTAATAACAGGCATTCAATACTCAGTGATGAAAGGCATTCAACACTCAGTGATGGCAGGAGTTCAACATTCAGTGATGACCGGCGTTCAACACTCATTGACTACAGGCGTTCAACACACATTGATATCAGGCGTTCAACTCACAGTGATGACAGGCGTTCAATATTCATTCTAGGCAGGCGTTCCACGCTCAGTGATTGCAAACGTTCAACATCCAGTCAACGCAGGCATTCAAAACTCGGAAATCGCAGGCGCTCAACATCCAGTCAAGGTAGGCGATCAACACCCAGAGATGGCAGGCGTTCAACGCTCAGTGATGGCAGACGTTCAACACTCAGTGATGACAGGCGTTCATCATCCAGTGATGCAGGCGTTCTACACTCAGTGTTAGCAGACGTTCAGCACTCAATGAAGGCAGGAGTTCAACACTCAGTGAAGTCAAACGTTCAACACTCAGTGATGTTAAGCGTTCAACACTCAGTAAAGGCAGGCGTTCAACACTCAGTTATGGCAGACTTTTAACACCCAGTGATGGCAGGATTTCAACAGACAGTAATGGCAGACGTTCAACACTCAGTGATATCAAGCATTCTACACTCAGTGATGTCAGGCATTCAACACCCAGTGATGGAAGATGTTTCACATCTTAATGATGGCAGACATTTTACACTCAGTGATGGCAGGGGTTCAAATCTCAGTAATGGCAAGCGTTCAACACTCAGTGATGGCCGGCGTTAAACATCCAGTGATAGCAGGCGTTCAGCACCCAGAGATGGCAGATGTTCAACAC